TATTCCCACATGCTTATACCTACTCACTGCAATTTTCTTTAATGTTTTTGTAGGAAATAGATGTTGAATGTTGTCAAAGGAATTTTCAGCCTCTGCGACAGTAATCATATGATTTTTCTCTTAGATCCACTAGTATTGTATGCTAAATTCACACATTTTCAAATAGAATGCTGAAGGTTTTTATATTCTTAATACAAATCCTAAGCCATGGTGTACTGTTTTGTCATTCTTAGGAATCTATATTCCCTAAACGCAGTCTAACATTGCATTTAAAATTGTTGCACTATCACCAGTAATGATACTGGCCTGTTGATTTCTTTTTTGTATGCTATTATTGATGGAATTCTATTCTGCTATATTTACATCATTAAAAGCATTTGGAAATTGCCATTATTTTCTATACTCTGAAGCCTTTAAAATATTGAAGACAGTTGATTTTTTAAAAGTTTAGTTGAGTTTTCCTGAACAAGCCTCTGGACCTGGTGCTTCTTTATACTTTATCATTTTTTGATGTTTCTATTTCATCTATGAAAATTAGTTGGCTTCAGCATTCTGTCTATACACATCAGTTTTGGTAAATATATTTCTTAAGAAAATGTATTTTTCTTAGCTTATAAAAAAGCAAATATTGGCAAAAAAAAGTTTATCAGTGCATATAAACTTTTTAATAATTCATTGTTGTTATGGTTTGTATCTAGTTGTTCCCTCAAAGCCTCATGCAGTCATGGGGTGGGGACTTCTTGAGTTTGAGATTAATTTATGATCCACTGGGATTATGGGTTTTAGTACTGCTGGGATTATGGGTGTGTGTACTTCCCCCAGCCTGGGGCGGAGGACCTGAATGCAAAATAAGAGAGACAGAGAGACAGACTCTCTCTGCTGCCAGAGAGAGTTGTTGTTCTGTCGCCATGAGCTGGATGCTCTCTGCCCTGTGCTGCTCTGCCTTGGAGCCAGCCAAGTGTGGACTGAACCCTCCAGTAACTGTGACCTAAATAAACCTTTCCTTCCTTCAGTTTGGGTGTTGAGTATTTGTCCCAGTGAGAGAAGAGTAACGGAGACAATTGTCTAAGAATGGCTGCTAAAATCAGCACAGTGACTAAAAATAGATACCAAGGAGTTATTAAAGACACACAGAAAGAAAGTAAAATATTTCTGTAAGAAACACCTACCCAGATTTACCTTCCATCATTGTTCACAATCCCTTCGAAGGCCCACGCGAAAGTGACAAGAAAAAAGAAAAGCCCATGACATTTTTACACACGTGTATGCAGAAGACATCCTTTTCCTCTTTATCCAAGTGTGCAGCTGCATTTCTCATTACTGTCAATACTACATGACTGCACTACTAATCCTGTCACATAAACAAGCCACGGCAGGTGGGAGCTGGAGCGTCTCCCAGGGCCCTTGTGTTGGATCCTGGTACCCACTGAGCTGCACCTTTGAGGGGATATTGGGACATCAGGCCCTTTCATTTTCTTCCTGTCTTTGAGCTGATCAGATTTTCTTTATTGTATGTTCCTGCCATAAGGTGCTGTCCTGCCATAGAGCTCACCCCAAATGGACAACAATGGGGCCAACCAATGGTAGACCAGAACCCTCTAAACTATGAGGCAAAATAAGCCTTTTCTCTGTATAAGTTGATCATGTCAGGTTTTAGCATAGCGCTGGAAAGCTGACTAACACACACTGAACACTCCGAAGTGCGGACAATGGTGGCTGTATCACCACAATGCTTGAGAGGAAGCTTGGCAACAGAGAACTTCGTTTTGTTTCCAGAGTCTGTAAAGCCTCTTCACTTTTTTTTCTTTGTCTTTTTAAGTCAGGGTCTTGCCATGCTGTGCTGGCTGACTGTGAGCTCACTTTGTAGCTCACACTGGTCTCAAGCTCGCAGTGATCTTCTGCCTCAGCCTCCTGAGTGCTGGCATTACAGTGCACCACCATGCCCAGCTCTATTTATTTTTAAAACTATTCTGAAAAAAAAACTTCAGGGGAATCTGGTGCCTGCAAACTCCTGTGATATACTGAGTCCTGGGCTGAAATGTATCATCTCTTCATACGTGTGTTTGAGGAAAACTGGTATAATGAAGCAAAAACGGTATGTCTAGTATAAAACAACCAAACCAACCAGCAGATGCTGTCTGCTCTGCTATACCCCAGATAAGTGTCTGGGTTCTCCAGGTCTCCCCTTCCTCAGACACTGAAGATCAGAGCCTCCAGGCGATGAGTGAGACTCTCCACTCCTGACATGGAGACAGGCACGGAGGACATCAGCCTGCACTGGACACCTTTTCTAGAATTGCTTTGCATGGGTGATTCAAAAACTCTTTATCAGGAATCATTTCAGTAAGGATGGTGGTCATAGAATTGGGGTGTAAAGGCTGTCTTAACCTCTGCTTTTCCCTTTCTGGCCTTTACCACTCTCACTGCGCTTTAGTGAAGATTCAAATTCCCCTTTCTGGGCAGCAGCATATCACACCTGTGGAATTCGCTTAGCTTTTAGTGACATCCAGAGCAGAGACATCTATGTGCCCTTTGATACCAACTTAAGTCCCCAGGCTTGCAGCTATTTTGTTCTAGTCTTGAGCGGTGGGCTAAGAAAGTCCAGGAGGAACACATACACGTCTAGACACCTTTCCAAGGAGTGTTGCATTTGAGATAAACCATACCTTGGCTTAGTCTTTGTTAGATTAGCTTACAACATGCTCTGGCAGGTTCACTAGACCTCAAAATGTAAGTCAAGTTAAAATCTGTATAGTACATATATATCTTATTTTCTTCTACAAGGAGAGGATGGAGTGGACACTCCTCAACAATTCATCTTTGTTACTCTCTTTATAAACTGGCATATGATGCAGTTCATACAGAGGCCAATGTGCAATGCTTTGTTATTCAAGAATAAGACAGACATATGCAGTGAAGGTTTGTAATACGTACTAAAGAATAAGAAATAACTATTATTATTGCTTAATAAAGGGGTAAAATTCAATAGAATATCACCAAGAAAAATAATTTTAATAAAGCCCTGTAAGAAATTGATGGATTTGGCAGACAAAAATTAGTAAGGATTTAAAAGATTTAAATAACTTAACTGAACAGCCTGACACAA